CTCGTCTCTCCTTGCCCAAAAAAGCTAGCTCTTACGTATACCGTTTTCAAGATATTAGATCCTGTTTACAGTGTCCTACATGTAACTATACCCTAAAATATAAGAGCTCAGCACCCACTGTGCTTTTTCTATTCTGCCTTCTTCTATTTCTTCATGTTTTCCTCCCTCTATTCTGATACATGTAGCAAATATAGTCCTGCCTTTTGCAATTCAGTTTTCTCAAACCAAAAGAATTCTTTCAATAAAAAAATAACTTTAAAGTCTGGAAAAAGCAGTTATCAAATCCAAAATACTATAAATTCTGCAAAAATACTGTATTTATTCAATTATTTTATTTTTTGATCTTGTTATAAATTAAACATGATCAAGTTGTCGAACCCTTTTTAAACACTGAGACATTACAGTTAATATGCAATTCATCCTAAAATTGTCCATCAGCTCTTATATCCTAGCTACGTAGCTATAACGCTGTTAATCATACTCACTATGAAGTTTTAAAAAAATCAATTTACCCTTATAAAATTGCTGCAGTCATTATTATCATGCCCAGCTTTGACCTTACAACATGTACAAGTCAAAAACATAACATTCTCACTTTGAAATTTAAAAAAAATCAATTTACCCTTGTAAAATTGCTGCAGTCTCATCCCCAACTTTTCCCTTACAAGTCAAAAACATGATTTAGGTCACGGCCTGTGAACTTTTATCTTATCCTGCATAACATCTGTAAGGTAATACATACATGGTTAGAAAATCTCTATAGTCATCTTGAGTAAAAGACCATTAAGGAATAAAAAAGCTACCTTTTAATGTATCAGTGAACGAAATAAACTCATCAACAATTTTCTTATCAGGATCAAATTTATTGTTTTTTTAAAGATAATATGTTTCATCTAATTAATTTGGCCATCTTCCCTCAGCGTATTTTTCTTCCACATTAATCTAGTTTTTCTATAAATGGCTTTTTTTGTCATTACAAGTGACATTAAGAGTTCTGAGCAGACTTGCTGGCGATGTAATTAAGGTGGAAAGTTGTAATCGTATCATGACTGAGTAGTTGCAGTAAGGTAGATTATTAATCGACATTAAGGATGAAAGGTTATGAGTTTTTTAATGACTTTTGACAAATGGGTCAGAAAGATTAAAATGGAGTTATCATAGAATGAAATAATTGAGAAAAGCAAATAAAGCTGAAAACAAGAAGCAGCATTGTCCCATTCAGATATATTGTTTCAAACATGTATGTATAAAACTTTTTATAGCTGACTATGCGGTATGGATTTTGCTCAGTGTTGAAGGCTGTACAGTGACCTACATGTATAGTTGTTTACTTCTATGTCATTTGGTCTCTAATGGAGAGTTGTCTCATTGGCAATCATACCACATCTTATTTTTATACGACCGCAAAATATATTGGTATGACGTTGGCGTCGTCGTCATCGTCTGGCGTCGTCCGAAGACACATTGGTTTTCGCACTCTAACTTTAGTTTAAGTGAGTGGATCTCTATGAAATTTTACCATAAGGTTCAATACCACAAAAGGAAGGTTGGGATTGATTTTGGGGGTTATGGTACCAACAGTTAAGCAAAAAGGGGCCAAAAATAAGCATTTTTGTAACTTCCAGACATAACTTGTGTGTTAGTGTATGGATCTCTCTGAAATTGTACCACAAGGTTCCATATCACACAGGGAATGCTGGGATTGATTTTGAGGGGTAATTGCCTCAAAATATTAGGAATTAGGGGCCAAAAAAGGGGCAAAAAACAATCATTTTTCTAGTTTCATGATAATAACTTGTGTGTAAGTGTATGGATCTTTTTGAAATTGTACTACAAGGTTCCATATCACAAAGGGAAAGCTGGAAATGAGTTTGGGGGTAATTGCCCAAAATGTTTAGGAATAAGGGGCCAAAAAGGGGCCAAAAATAAGCATTTTTCTAGTTTCCAGACAATAACTTGTTTTCAATTGTATGGATCTCTCTGAAATTGTACTGCAAGGTACCATACCACAAAGGGAAGGCTGGGATTGAGTTTGGGAGTGATGAATCATAAGGGGGTTCAAAAAATTTGGGGGGGGGGGGATTTTTTTTTTTTCCTTTTTTTTTTCTTTTAAAATTTTCCATTTTAAGTTGGTTATTTCTGTTTTATATTTAAAAGCAAATAATAATGATATGGTAGGAGATACACACCAAACAGGATGTGTAAATTATTATATAATAAGTATTGTGCAATAGCAAGAAATTTTCAATTGCACAGTATACGTATTGCACAATAGCAAGAAATCTTCAATTGCACAATATTGCGCAATAGCAAGAAATCTTCAATTGCACAGTATTGTGCAATAGCAAGAAATATCCAATAGCACAATATTGCGCAATAGCAAGAAATTGTCAATTGTACAGTATTGCGCAATAGCAAGAAATATTCAATTGCACAGTATTGTGCAAAAGAAGATACTTCGTATAAATTGCTTATTTCTTGACCAATTTCAATGGAGTTTTATTCTTGAATTCTTGGGGTTCTTTAATATGCTGATTCTAACCGTGTATTAAGTTTTTGGATTTTGGGCCCTGTTTTTAAATTGGTCCACATTGAGGTTCAAAGTGTCCAAAATTAAACTTTGTTTGATTTCATCAAAAATTGAATTATTGGGGTTCTTTGATATGCCGCTTCTAACCGTGTATTTAGATTCTTAATTTTTGGTTCCGTTTTTAAATTGGTCTACATTAAGGTCCAAAGGGTCCAAAATTAAACTTAGTTTGATTTTAACAAAAATTGAATTCTTAGGGTTCTTTGATATGCTGAATCTAAACATGTATTTAGATTTTTGATTATGGGCCCAGTTTTCAAGTTGGTCCAAATCGGGGTCCAAAATTAAACTTTGTTTGATTTCAACAAAAATTGAATATGTGGGGTTCTTTGATATGCTGAATCTAACCATGTATTTAGATTTTTGATTTTTGGGCCCCATTATCAACTTTGTCCACATTGAGGTCAAAAGGGTCCAAAATTAAACTTTGTTTGATTTCATCAAAAATTGAATTCTTGGGGTTCTTTGATATGCTGAATCTAACCATGTATTTAGATTTTGGATATTGGACCATAATAGGTGAATGTCCAATTTAAAATTTTTAAGTTCTTAGACCACATTCATTCTGTGTCAGAAACCTATGCTGTGTCAAATATTTAATCACAATCCAAATTCAGAGCTGTATCAAGCTTGAATGTTGTGTCCATACTTGCCCCAACTGTTCAGGGTTCAACCTCTGCGGTCGTATCAAGCTGCGCCCTGCGGAGCATTTTATTATATGTAGTATTTTTGTGATCTGATTTCTTTGTTTTTGACCATGTACAAATGTATATACTTGTTAACTATCAATGTTGTGCAAATTATATTGTTCACTATATTGATTGGTTGATTGATTGGTTGGTGTTTAATGCAACTTTCAACACTATTGTACTATTTTGTGGTGGTCAGGTTTTATTGATGGAGGAACCCGGAATGCTAGGAGAGAACCAACGACCTTTGGTTGGAAAACTGACAATCCTAGTCAATTAAGATTGGAGTCCAGTGCACCTACCAAGTGCAGGATTTGAACTCACAACCTCAGTGTTGATGACAGGCTAGTGATACAGTAGTTAAAGTACTTAGATCACTTGGCCCCTTGTAGGCCACGGTGGCATTAAGTGTTACCCTTGACCGTCCATCATCCGTCCTTCCGGATGTCTGTCAGTCACATTCTTTCTATATTTGGTTCTACTATCTTAGTATCCTCTCCTTATTGCTTCAACTTTTCCTGAAACAGAGTCTTATTTGATTTCAATGAAATTTTCAAAAGTACTTTTTGGGTCCAACGGCAATGACTGTACCTCAAGTCTATTTAAATTTGATATCCGAATAAATTTAATAAAAGTTTCCAACTGAAAATGTACTTCATCTTATCTACAAAAAAGGGAGACCTATCATAAAATTGAGAATGGAAATGGGAAATGTGCCAAAGAGACAACAACCCGACCATAGAGCAGACAACAGCTGAAGGCCATGCCTATAAAGATTCAATACAAAAAACCAAAATTCATTCCAGATTCATAAGTGTACGCACCAAAAAAAACACATTAAAAACCACAGTAGGAACTCATTCGGAGTGCATCTGTTATTTATAAACCATTTGCTGATTCCGTCAATTATACTTTTGAACATGTTGAAAGGGGAAAAAGTTCCCTGCCTATCAAAAGTGTTCTGCTTTCTGCATTCATATTGGGACAGGGACCTTTTTCCTGTGTTAAACAAGTCTGAAAACAAGTTTTTGAAAAGTTATATTCCTCTTTTTGTAGACTTTATTCTCATCAATAATTTCAGTTTTGTATATTTTTGGAGATTTGAGTTCATTTGCTACATACCTACATGTACATGTATACCTTAATTTGTAGATATAGTATTTATTTTTTCATTGATAAGTTACCTTTTGGAAGTACATGTACATGTAAACTAATTTAAGCGGGACCATATCTTACATGCATATACACCTTATATATGGTGATTACTAATTTCTATTTATAGATTTGTTTAAATCTTGCAGGTGAAAGGTCATGGATAGAGGTAACCAAACATAGAACAAGGAAATCACTATGAGGGTTGTCCAAAATTAGAACACAGGTAGCCAGTAATATTATTACTTATCAATAATGACCTAATAAGTATTCATATATGACCCCATTGATCTTTTTGTTTGTTTATTTACATGTGTTACTATTAAACGGATTATCCAAGTGGGGAAAACCCTTCCTTACAATGTTTTGAAATGGGTGGTGTCTTTTGTTGATAATTGAAAAGTGATATTGACAAGAAATTAACAACATATTGAATGTTATTGACTGGAATTAACAACAGGTTTGATTTTTATTGTATTTAAACTTTAAAAAAGTTTGTTTTGAATCTTTAAAGATTAGACTGTTTGGTTTATTGGAATACTTTACGGACATTATTATTAAATATAAAGTGTCACTAGGCTAATGATCCTTGCTTTATATATCAGTGACAGTTCACTTGAAATTTTTATTTTTAGAGGTAAATGGATTACAATATCTAATTTTACAGTGGACATATGCATGAAGAGACAGTATCCGGTAAGAAATGTTTTGGCAATAAATGTGATATACAAATTTACGTGATCATGATTATATACATGATATAAGTCCCCTTGAAATATATATGCTTGTTTCCTGTCTCCTGACAAACAAAATAAGACAAGGATTTATTTTTTAAAATATAATATATAGATAATATTGGGACAATGTTCTGGGGGACACAATATGAAATTTTGACAGTCTATCAAGTCATGCAAGTGTTGAGCTACTATTTGCTTTGTAGAACATTGAAAATTCACTTGAAATATTTATTTTCAGACTTATATGGATTACAATAGCTAGTTTTACAGTGGATCTAAAAGTGAAGTTATCTGGTAAGACATTTTTTGACAATAACTGTGAATGTGATACACATATATACAAATTAAATGTACATGATATATGACCCCCAAAATATATATGCTTGTTTCCTGCCTCCTGACTGAAAACAAATAAGGTAGGTAGGTGGGTAAAATATATTCATTTAGACTATATATTTTATATATATATATCCGGAAATGTTCCGGGTGTTAGCAGTGCTTAAGGTTATGACCCCCTCTAGTCAGAACTGTGTATTAGAAAATTTTCAAAGTGTAATTATATCAAAACAGCAAAAATACTGAATAAAAGAAACATACTATTTTGTACATATATCAAAGGGAAAGCTCATTACAGAAATTATGTTTATTGTCTACTTATTGTGGATTTTGTGTAAACCAAAATTTTTACAAAAAAATCCACAGATTTTATTGCAGAGTCTTTCGTTATAATATTTGAAACCTAGATTACTCACTAGTTTATCCATGGTGTGCTAGCATTTATTGTTTACCAAAATTCCTATACAACCTTTACAATCTAAAAAAACTTGTGCTGCATCATTAAATGCGAGTGCACCCTAGAACATGTACTTGAATTTCTTCATAATTTGTACTTGTTTTAACTTATAATCTTTACTGGTATTCAAAAATTTGTTTTAGTGAAATCATTGACAGCACTGCATGCAGTATCCCCCTTTCTATCTATACAAGATTGTCAAATATAAGAGTACTTCATACTACATGAGGGTGTGGATGGGGGTTTACAGAATAGAGAATAATGTGCAAAAGATATAAAGAATAAGAGAAAAATGGACTAAAAAAATAAAGAATAGAGAATAATGAGGTGCTAACATATTAAGAATACTAAGAGAATAATGGGCAAAAAGTATAAAGAATAGAGAAAAATGGCAAAAAAAAATAAAGAATACAGAAATGAAGGATCCCCCATCCAGAAATCGTGACCCTCCTCCATGGGAAAAGGCTGTGAATTTTCTATTAAAACTTCCATATGTTTAGCATTTAAACAACAACTCCTTAACCAGAAATGTCTGGACTTATATATTGCTGAATTAAAAATTCCTGGACTTTGACAGTGCTTAACAATAAAAGTCCTTAAGAATGTGTTAGTGTAGTCATGAAAATTAAGGGTATGTAGGGAGGAAGAAAACAAAACTATGTATTTTTTTTGGCCTAGCAAGTTGAAATTTGTGGTGTACTTGTTTTCTCTAGATCTGTATTTGATATGCATAAAGTCAAGTTACAGAAATGGTATTAGCTTTGTCTTGCTTAACTTGTGAAAATAGAGTAAACCATTAGAGATCTTTCAATAACTGTAAGATGAAGAACAGCAATGTTGTCCCATAAATATCCATTACAATTTTTTCTTTACCAAAGAAAAAACAAGAAAAATGAATAAAGGAAACATGAGATATATATATGTTTATTAGACATCTTATGCATTGGTCATATATTAATAATATTTTACTTTGAGATTGTTTGGGAAACACACCTTATTGCTATTTACATTTGTAATTCAATCGGGGAAAAAACAATTAATTAGACAACTTCCTGTTTGGGTCAAGTATCGCAAAAACAAAGGTTATTAGTAATCATGGTAATGAGCTGAGGGAGGAAAAAGCTTAGAAAGTGAACATTTTGAGATATTGATAGTTTTTGATTCAATTTTTTTTAAACATGAATTAAAGTAATAATGCTTTATTTTAAATGTTACAATCATTTAAACATGTTTCTATAAAAATTTCTATGCATAATACATTGCTTCAACAGGGCCCTAGATACATGTAGTTTCAACTGATTTGTGAAGTCATGAAAAAGTTGGTGTGATTTCAGAACTTATCCGGATTGGAATAAGTAGCGATAAGGACCAGTTGTTGTAATGTTTCTTTGACCTTTATAGAATTCTGGTCAAACAAGTGTTGAGAAATGTCTTGAACTTGGATTGAAGCATTTTTGCAATGTGTTAAATGCCACACTTTAACTGAAATTAAGTGAAAACCAGATTTACAAGTTTTCCATTGCTTTTTGAATTAGCATAAATGTGCATGTAAAGATTTCATGTACTGAATTAATATACTTCTCCTTTTATTTCCATTTCAAAAGACATCTTAAGGTCAACATATGGTCTTGAACAATAGACATGTGACAATACAATATCTCAAGCTATAAATGGCCCCCAGTCTAGACAAAATCAATGTGTATGAATTAACAGAGTGTAGGAAAGATCTGCTGACTAAAGACAACAACTCGGAAGAGGTTGTAAAATTCTACAATTTCCTTGATTTTACTAGGCCAATTTGAGCCCCTAAGTGGTCACTTTCTCCTTTAATTTATTCAGGACAGTGATTACCAGCAATTAGGGTCTGGTTAGGGTTTACAGAATAGAGAATAATGGGCAAAAAGTGCAGAGTAAAGGAAAGAAAAAGAGGAAGAACAGAGAAATAGACAAAAGAGAAAAAAAAAGATAATAATGGGGAATTGGAATATTTGGATTGATATTTTTCTGTGAAAAGTAAAATAACAAAAAAAGCAAACTCCAAGGAAAATTCAAAACAAAAATTCCTTTATTAAATGGCAAAATCAAAAGCTCTAACACATCAAATGAATGGAAAACAACTGTCATATTCCTGACTTATGAAATAGATTTGAATTACTAATTTTGTATATTTATTGAATGGTTCTTGTTTTGTTTTATAGGACCTAGTACACTAAATATACCAGGGATTAAAAAATACCATTTAAGTTCATTATCAGCACACATGAGTTGTTTTTTGGGACATTTTTTCCAAACTTAGCTTAAAGAAGTGTCAATCATCAATAATTCTTTGACACACTCTATCAAGGTCAATTTACTGTGAGGGGGCCTCAGTAGCAGTGTTGTTTAAGTATTTCATCAACAGTGATCACTAGCTTGTCAAAACTGAGGTTGACAATTTGCTTATAGCATTGACTCAGATCTTAATTGACTATAGGATTGTTAGTTTTCCTACAGAATGTCATAGTTCTCTCTGGGTACTCCAGCTTCCCCCTTCTGATAAAAACTGGTCCCCATGATAAAGCCAAGTGTGCCTAATGTGATACTAAACAGTACAATCAAGTACTCAATTTTAAGTGGAACAATTTCATATGATAAATTATCTATGGAGTACAAAAACTCATCAAATCCTAACTTGAAAATTTGTTATAGACATGATAAAGGAAATAGTGTTATTTTTTTAATCTTCAATCAAATAATCAATGGTATTTTCAAATGTTTTGTATTTTAAATGGAATTCTGTAAAGAACAAGTAGTTTTTAAAAAATATCTTATTGAAAAGTTTTTTGTTTTCCAAATGTTACATTTTGATTTGTAAATGCAGTTAATAGATTTTTCAGGTGTTGATTTAGTTGTATAAGCTTTAAGGATTAGAAATTGAAACAGGATTAAATATTCAATAATCCAATGTCATTTTTTTAGCTCACCTGGCCCGAAGGGCCAAGTGAGCTTTTCTCATCACTTGGCGTCCGTCGTCCGTCGTCCGGCGTCGTCCGGCGTCGTCCATCGTCGTCCGTCGTCGGCGTTAACTTTTTACATTTTGAACTTCTTCTAGAGAACCACTGAATGGAATGAAACCAAACATGGCATGAATGTTCCTTATGAGGTGCTGACCAAGCGTTGTTACTTTGTAGCGGATCCATCATCCAAGATGGCCGCCAGCGGGGGACTTAGTTTAACATAGGACCCTATGGAAAATACATACAAATGTCTTCTTTTAGAGAACCACTGAATGGAATGAAACCAAACATGGCATGAATGTTTCTTATGAGGTGCTGACCGAGTGTTGTTACTTTGAAGCCGATCCATAATCCAAGATGGCCGCCAGCTGGGGACTTAGTTTAACATAGGACCCTATGGGAAATACATACAAATGTCTTCTTTTAGAGAACCACTGAATGGAATGAAACCAAACATGGTATGAATGTTCCTTATGAGGTGCTGACCAAGTGTTGTTACTTTGAAGCCGATCCCTAATCCAAGATGGCCGCCAGCGGGGGACTTAGTTTAACATGGGACCCTATGGGAAATACATACAAATGTCTTCTTTTAGAGAACCGCTGAATGGAATGAAACCAAACATGGCATGAATGTTCCTTATGAGGTGCTGACCAAGTGTTGTTACTATGAAGCTGATCCATAATCCAAGATGGCCGCCAGCAGGGGACTTAGTTTAACATTGGACCCTATAGGAAATACATACAAATGTCTTCTTTTAGAGAACCACTGAATGGAATGAAACCAAACATGGCATGAATGTTCCTTATGAGCTGCTGACCGAGTGTTGTTACTTTGAGGCAATCCATAATCCAAGATGGCCGCCTGCAGGGGACTTAGTTTAACATGGGACCCTATGAGAAATACATACAAATGTCTTCTTTTAGAGAACTACTGAATGGAATGAAACCAAACATGGTATGAATGTTCCTTATGAGGTGCTGACCGAGTGTTGTTACTTTGAAGCCGATCCATAATCCAAGATGGCCGCCAGCGGGGGACTTAGTTTAACATGGGACCCTATGGGAAATACATACAAATGTCTTCTTTTAGAGAACCACTGAATGGAATGAAACCAAACATGGCATGAATGTTTCTTATGAGGTGCTGACCGAGTGTTGTTACTTTGAAGCCGATCCATAATCCAAGATGGCCGCCAGCTGGGGACTTAGTTTAACATAGGACCCTATGGGAAATACATACAAATGTCTTCTTTTAGAGAACCACTGAATGGAATGAAACCAAACATGGTATGAATGTTCCTTATGAGGTGCTGACCAAGTGTTGTTACTTTGAAGCCGATCCCTAATCCAAGATGGCCGCCAGCGGGGGACTTAGTTTAACATGGGACCCTATGGGAAATACATACAAATGTCTTCTTTTAGAGAACCGCTGAATGGAATGAAACCAAACATGGCATGAATGTTCCTTATGAGGTGCTGACCAAGTGTTGTTACTATGAAGCTGA